GTACAATCTAAGGTCCCTAACCAATCAAGGAGGGGTGTACAATCTAAGTCCCTACAAGGGCGTACAATCTAAGGTCCCTAACTCACATTCATCATATACTAACTAGGGACAATTTAGACAGGATCCAATTCACCTACCAGAATGTCTTTGGAATGTGGGAGGAAACTGGAGTACCCAGAGGAAACCCACGCAGGCACAGGGAGAACATGCAAATTCCAGGCAGGTGGTGCTGTGGTTAGGATTTGAACCAATGACCCTAGTCCCTAACCCTCAAGGGGTGTACAATCTAAGGTCCCTAACTCACATTCATACATACACATACTAGGGACAATTTAGACAGGAGCCAATTCACCTACCAGCATGTCTTTGGAATGTTGGAGGAAACTGGAGTGCCCAGAGGAAACCCACGCAGGCACAGGGAGAACATGCAAACTCCAGGCAGGAGGTGCCATGGTTGGGATTTGAACCAACGACCCGAGTACTGCCAGGCGGAAGTGCTAACCATTTAGCCACTGTGCTGCCCATGAAGGTTGTTCCTATTCTCAGCCTCCTTCATATCTCCAAATTCCTGCTATGTCATACATTGCAGGAGTCTTCATGGGAGGAGGGGTTTTCCCAGCTAAGCACACTCTCCTGCCTGCATGCCTTAGCTAAGCACAGATGGATTCTAGGAAGTATATGCTACATGAATCATCTGCCCTTACTCAAGATGGCCATGCCCAGAAATGCTAGGGGGTGATTTCTCAACAAAATAAAGCATGGAGCCATGGATGGACGAGGGAGATTGCTTTGAATATTAAAAATGAATTAACCACTTCAAGTCCAAACACTTTCACCCCCTTCCTGTCCAGGCCAATTTTCAGCTTTCAGCTCTATCACACTTTGAATAACAATTGCGCGGTCATGCAACACTGTACCCATATTAATTTTTAGCATTGTTTTGAGACAGATAAATCTTTATTTTGGTGGTATTTATTCCCCACTGGGACTTTTATTTTTTTTTTTTTTGCTATATAAATGAAAAAGTCCAAAACTTTTGAAAAAAAAGTGTTTTTCTTATAAAATGTTGCAAATAAATAATCTTTCTTCATAAAACGTGGCCAAAATGTATTCAGTTATCTTTTTAGTAAAAAAAAAAAAATAACCCAAATTTGTTTATAACCAAAAATTATAATTTTTCTAAATTTTTTTTTAATATTATTATTTATTTGTTGTTTTTGTTTTTTTAACATACTGTCACCCTAGCACGGGTGTCGGCAACCCGCGGCTCTTTTTCACCTTTCCTGCGGCTCCGGAGCACACTGCCCAGCAGGTGACAGGCAATAGGGTCGGCAAGCCGCGGCTCTTTTAATGCAGCTCTTCTATGTGCCGGGCGCCCGCTCCCCTCCCTCCTCCAAACATTGGCTGTCAGGATGTAGGCGGGGCAGCGTGACGAACTCCTCTCCTCTCACAGTCCGCCCTGAAGACCAGAACGGCGCGGGAACACAGCTAGAGGAACGCGCGGAGCAAAGGTAAGTGAATTGACACAGGGGGAATGAATTACTATAGGGGGGATGAATTACTATGGGGGATGAATTACTATATGGGGGATGAATTACTATGGGGGATGAATTACTATATGGGGGATGTATTACTATATGGGGGATGAATAACTATGGGGGATGAATTACTATATGGGGAATGAATTACTATAGGGGGGATGAATTACTATGGGGGATGAATTACTATATGGGGGATGAATTACTATGGGGGATGAATTACTATATGGGGGATGTATTACTATATGGGGGATGAATAACTATGGGGGATGAATTACTATAGGGGGGATGAATTACTATAGGGGGGATGAATTACTATATGGGGGATGAATTACTATAGGGGGGATGAATTACTATATGGGGGATGAATTACTATATGGGGGATGAATTACTATATGGGGGATGAATTGCTATATGGGGGATGAATTACTATATGGGGGATGAATTACTATATGGGGGGGATGAATTACTATGGGGGATGAATTACTATGGGGGGATGAATTACTATATGGGGGATGAATTACTTATGGGGGGATGAATTGCTATATGGGGGATGAATTACTATATGGGGGATGAATTACTATATGGGGGGATGAATTACTATGGGGGATGAATTACTATGGGGGATGAATTACTATATGGGGGATGTATTTTCAGTTTTAAAAATGTTTCTCTCAAAATAAATTTCAATCGTGGTTTTGGCGAGATTTGGCTCAGTTGAAAAAAAAGGTTGCCCACCACTGACCTAAGGCTATGATTGTGATTATGACGATACACTGTGGCCCTGGTTAACCCTTTGCTTACTGGGCCCTTAAACCCCCTTCATGACCAGAGCGCTTTTCGCAATATATGCAGTGTCGGATTTGTTTTAAATGTTGCAATGGTTTTGCGGCTCCCAGTCTTTTTTTCCCTCTCGGAAACGGGTCCAAGTGGCTCTTTATGTCTTAAAGGTTGCAGACCCCTGCCCTAGCAGTACAGTGTCACCATAGTGACACTTGTGGGGGGTGATGAAGATTTTTTTTTTTTTTTTTTTTTTTTTACTTCTTTTTACTTTTTTTTTTGCATTCTTGCAGCCATGGAGAAATAATGTGAGAGCTGTGATTGGTCACAGCTTGTCACGTGGTACAAGGATGGTACAAGCCCTGTACCATGTGATCTCTGTGATCATTCACATATTTCACTAGTAGTAAGCAATGATGTCAGGAAGTGACATCTTGCTTACTACTATTCATATGATCACTGATTGGCCAATCACTGATCACATTATTTATTATAGGTACTTATATAGCGCCGTCAATGTACGCAGCGCTTTACATATATATTGTACATTCACATCAGTCCCTAACCCTCAAGGGGTGTACAATCCAAGGTCCCCAACTCACATTCATACATACACATACTAGGGACAATTTTAGACAGGATCCAATTAACCTACCAGCATGTCTTTGAAGTGTGGGAAGAAGAACCCACGCAGGCACAGGGAGAACATGCAAACTCCAGGCAGGTGGCGCTGTGGCTGGGATTCGAACCCACGACCCCAGTACTGCCAGGCAGAAGTGCTAACCATTTAGCCACTGTGCTGCTCATACACACAGAGGTCTCGTACAACGATCTGTGTTTGCAGTGCAGCACGCTCCCAGGGAGTGCGCACAGGCAATGGATGCGAGGGGACGTTTAGAAACTTCCACCCGCATCGGCAGCGCTCCCAGCGAGCACAGGCTGTAAATGCGGGTGCCGTTTATGAACGGCAACATGCTCCTGTCCGGCCGTTTATGTACATGGGCCGGGCGGGAAGGGGTTAAATAGCGTTTTCAGTTTCTGGTGCTCGGATGCAGTTTAGTTCCACTTTAAGTAATGGATGTGTATGTATTATTTTTTAAATATAACAATTCTCCAATTAATTTTGCAGGACGATTGTTCATAAAAAGGGGTGGAGCCAGTATAAAAAGTGAATAGTTATGCGCAAGATCTTAAGGGAAATATCATTTTCTACAAATATTCCTGCAGAAACCGTCAATCTCGTTCTGCTCAACTGCCGCTTATCTTTCTGTTAATGGCCGTTGTAGAGGACTGTACTTCCCTCCCCGGCGGTCTGGCAGAAGGAGAGTTAAGCGCCGTCTTCGAACACATTGCCTGTCTGTGCTCCTCTCCTTCACTTGTCACAGCTCGGCTGCTGGAATCTGGCCCTTCTCCTCCAATTGATGTTGTAGAATCTCTTTCCTCCATCTGGCCTACGAGGCCTGGAGCTGCGGCGATGATATTTTGTCACTGCTGTTTTCGTGCTGTTTTCCCCCTCGTCGGCTCCCCAGATGGCGAAAATAACATTCAAACTCTTTTTTTTTTTTTTTTTTTTTTGCGTGTGATTTTTTTTTTTTTTTTTTTTGCTTCTAACAATGGTCCTTGGCATCATTTCAATGTTCTACTTCGGTAATTAACAGTACTGATATGGCCACAATTACAAGTCCCCCTCTCTTCGGCAGTAACGCTGTGAATTAGTAGGAGCTAATGACTGCAAGTGGAGAGGGGGCTTGAGCGCAGACGGCGAAGCGTTTTGTGTAGGATGGAATAAAAAGGTACAAGCGGCGCGTCCGTGGTCGACAATGATTACCTAGTAATTAGTTTACACAAAGCCTCCTATTTAATGGTGAAACGGTGTAATTAACGAGTGACAGAAAATCAAAGGGTTGTTTTGTAAGCATATCAAAAATTAACACGGAGGGATACGAGCGAATTAAATCAATAGCGAGCAGAACATGAGATTGATACCTGGGGAGCCGGCAAACACATTGCTCTACATGATATTATATTGCCGTTTATTAAATTGCTTCATGTGATATTATTTCACTTTGTTTATTGCGAGATCGTTTTTCATGATATTATTATCAGGCTTGGCATCTCAATAGATCACTGAAGCTAAGCATTCCTTTTGATCTTGCAATATGTTTTCCAAGCTGAGGCAACTTCACAATTCCAACTATCGGAGATCTAAAGTCTCCAGCATGTAGTTGCTGGCTTGCAGGCTTTAGTGGGGGTTGTAGTTCCTTGAATGCTTGGAAATGCAGAATATTATGATTGTGTCCAACATGCTGTAGACCAGTCATCCTCAACTAGGGTTCCTTCTGAATTTTTTTAGGGGCTTCTTGAGCTGGAGATGATTGACCTCCCATTTGATGGTGCCTGCAGAATTTCGGGAGCAACGCCACTTGGCAGAGCCAGTGGCATGAAACCACTGATCTTTTTTGTTGTTTGTAAGGGTGGCAGTTTGGCCAATACCTTACAGGGAACATTCTTCCCAGTAGCCAATAATATACGGGGGATTCTTCCCACTAGCCAACAATCTAAGGAGCATTCTTTCCAGTGACAACCAATGTAAGGCATGATCTTCCGACTCACCAACCATGTAAGGGGCATTCTTCCGATTAATCAACAATATAAGGAGCATTCTTCTCATTGATCGCCAATGTAAGGAGCATTCTTCCCACTGATCACCAATGTAAGGAGCATTCTTCCCACTGACCACCAATGTAAGGAACAGTATACTTACTGACCACCAATGTAAGGAGCATTCCTCCCACTGACTTCCAATGTAAGAGACATCCTTCCCACTGACCACCAATGTAGGGGACATTCTTCCCACTGACCACCAAAGTAAGGAGCATTCTTTTCACTGACCATCAATGTAAGGGGCATTATTCCCACTGACCACCAATGTAAGGGGCATTCTTCCCACTGACCACCAATATAAGCGGCATTCTTCCTACTGACCTCCAATGTAAGTGGCATTCTTCCCACTGACCAAGAATATAAGCGGCATTCTTCCCACTGACCACCAATGTAAGGGGCATTCTTCTCACTGATCCCCCAATGTAAGGAGCATTCTTCCCACTGACCATCAATGTAAGGAGCATTCTTCCCACTGACCACCAATGTAAGGGCATTCTTCCCACTGACCTCCAATGTAAGGGGCATTCATCCCACTGACCAAGAATATAAGGGGCATTCTTCCCACTGGCCACCAATATAAGGACCTCCACCAATGTAAGGGGCATTCTTCTCACTGATCGCCAATGTAGGGGACATTCCCCCACTGACCACCAATGTAAGGGGCATTCTTCCCACTGACCCCCAATGTAAGGGGCATTCTTCCCACCAATGTAAGGGACATTCTTCCCACTGACCCCCAATGTAAGTTCTTCCCACTAATCACCAATGTAAGGGACATTCTTCCCACTAATCACCAATGTAAGGGACATTCTTCCCACTGACCCCAACGGGTGAGATGAAAATTTGGATTATTTTTTTTTTTTTTTTACTAAAAAAGATAGCTGAATATATTTTGGCCAAGATTTATAAAGAAATATTATTTATTTGCAAAATTTTATAAGAAAACCCCTTTTTTTTCAAAATGTTTGGCATTTTCATTTATATAGAAAAAGAAATCCCAGTGGTGAATAAATACCACCAAAATGAAATTTTACCTGTCTCAAAAAATCTTCATCACCCCTCAGAAGTAGTACAGTGTCACTATGGTGACACTGTACTGCTAGGGTGACAGTATGTTAAAAAAAACATAAATAATATGAAAAAATAATAAAAATGTAAAACATTTCTTTGAAAAATTAAAATTTTTGGTTATAAACTAATTTGGGGTTATTGTTTTTTTTTACTAAACAGATAGCTGAATACATTTTGGCCAAGATTTATGAAGAAAGATTATTTATTTGCAAAATTTTATAAAAAAAAACACTTTTTTTTAAATGCTTGCACTTTTTCATTTATATAGCAAAAAAATAAAAATCCCAGTGGTGAATAAATACCACCAAAAATAAAGCTTTATCTGTCTCAAAAAAATGCTAAAAAATTCATATGGTACAGTGTTGCAATTGTCATTCAAAGTGTGATAGCGCTGAAAGCTGAACATTGGCCTGGACAGGAAGGGGGTAAAAATGTCCGGACTGGAAAGGGGGGGGGGGGGGAGTGTCCGGATTGGAAAGGGGGGGGGGGGAAGTGTCCGGACTGGAAGGGGGTGAAAGCGTCCGGACTGGAAGGGGGTGAAAGCATCCGGACTGGAAGGGGGTGAAAGCGTCCGGACTGGAAGGGGGTGAAAGCGTCCGGACTGGAAGGGGGGAAAGCGTCCGGACTGGAAGGGGGGGGAAAGCGTCCGGACTGGAAGGGGGGGAAAGTGTCCGGACTGGAAGGGGGGTGAAAGCGTCCGGACTGGAAGGGGGTGAAAGCGTCCGGACTGGTAGGGGGTGAAAGCGTCCGGACTGGAAGGGGGTGAAAGCGTCCGGACAGGAAGGGGGGTGAAAGCGTCCGGACTGGAAGGGGGGTGAAAGCGTCCGGACAGGAAGGGGGGGGAAAGCGTCCGGACTGGAAGGGGGGTGAAAGCGTCCCGACTGGAAGGGGGGTGAAAGCGTCCGGACTGGAAGGGGGGGGAAAGCGTCCGGACAGGAAGGGGGGTGAAAGTGTCCGGACTGGAAGGGGGGGAAAGTGTCCAGACTGGAAGGGGGGGAAAGTGTCCAGACTGGAAGGGGGGTGAAAGTGTCTGGACTGGAAGGGGGGGAAAGTGTCCAGACTGGAAGGGGGGAAAGTGTCCGGACAGGAAGGGGGGTGAAAGTGTCCGGACTGGAAGGGGGGGGGGGAAAGCGTCCGGACTTGAAGTGGTTAATAAAAACCTGTATGTTTTATACATGAAAACTGGAACACCAGAGAGATCCCATTCAAATATTTACATTCCTGGAGGGGAGGATAAGACCACCATATTCCAGCAGGGAGTTTTCCAGTGTCCTGCGTATTAGGAAAGCATACTCCATGTGTCCCTGATCATTTCCCTGGTGCTCAAATATTTTCCATGAGTTCTATTGTTCTAATACCTCCGCATTAGTATTGAGGACCATTTCATGGAAGGATGAGATGGATACTTGAAAGGGTGACCGGCGCAGAGGTTACAGACGGTGTTTTTTTTGGCACACCTCGCCCTATCACCTTCTTAGGCTGCATGAGAGTGGGGGGTGGGGGGGGGGGGGTCTGTCTGTGTCTGATCTCATTTTACTATAAACAGGGGATGCCATAAGGAATTCACACTCATCATTTGTCAGCAGAACACTGTGAACAGCGGGAGTCTGATGACTGCCCTAGATATGGGGAATGCAGCCAAAACCCTACAGTGAGAGAGATGACTTAACCCTTCATCACCTGCCCAACAATGAAGATGGGGTACAGAGGACAGGCTGAACACTAAAGGCAGGCTCAAACAGAATAGCGGTGCATCCTAAAAACAAAATGCCAAAAAAACTGTAAAAAAAAAAAATGCCTATATATCAGAATTCCAAATAATAAAAACTAAAAAAATAAATTATATATTAATAAATTAGAAAATAATACTAATTTTAAATAATTTAAAAAAGATATTAAACAAATAAAAAAAATTAAATAATATAACTAAATAAAGATGTCTCAAAATGCTAAAACAACACATATCATCAGAAAAAATGCTGATAGATCAGGTTTCTTTAAAAAAATACAATAAAAATAAATAAATAATATATATATATACAGGTGAAACTCAAAAGATTAGAATATGGTGCAAAAGTTCATTTATTTCAGTGCAGCAGCTTAAAAGGTGAAACTAATATATGAGACTCATTACATGCAAAGCAAGATAGTTCAAGCCGTGATTTGTCATCATTGTGATGATTATGGCTTACAGCTCATGAAAACCCCAAATCCACAATCTCAGAAAATGAGAATATTCCATGCAATCAATAAAACACGGATTGTACAGAGAACAATATCGGACCTCTGAAAAGTAGAAGCTGCATATGTACTCAGTACTTGGTTTGGGCCCCTTGTGCAGCAATTACTGCCTCAATGCAGCGTGGCATGGAAGCTATCAGCCTGTGGCACTGCTGAGGTGTTATGGAAGACCAGGATGCTTCAATAGCGGCCTTCAGCTCTTCTGCATTGTTCGGTCTCATGTCTTTCATCTTTCTCTTGGCAATGCCCCATAGATTCTCTATGGGGTTCAGGTCAGGGGAGTTTGTTGGCCAAACAAGCACAGTAATCCCACGGTCATTGAACCAGGTTTTGGTGCTTTTGGCAGTGTGGGCGGTGCCAAGTCCTGCTGGAAAATGAAGTCAGCATCCCCATAAAGCTCGTCTGCGGAAGGAAGCATGAAGTGCTCCAAAATCTCCTGGTAGACGGCTGCGTTGACCAGCACAGTGGACCAACACCAGCAGATGACATGGCTCCCCAAATCAAAACAGACTGTGGAAACTTCACACTGGACTTCAAGCATCTTGCAGTGTGTGCCTCTCCATTCTTCCTCCATACTCGGGGTCCTTGGCCTCTCCATTCTTCCTCCATACTCGGGGTCCTTGTGCCTCTCCATTCTTCCTCCATACTCGGGGTCCTTGGGCCTCTCCATTCTTCCTCCATACCGGGGTCCTTGTGCCTCTCCATTCTTCCTCCATACTCGGGGTCCTTGTGCCTCTCCATTCTTCCTCCATACTCTGGGTCCTTGGGCCTCTCCATTCTTCCTCCATACTCGGGGTCCTTGTGCCTCTCCATTCTTCCTCCATATTCTGGGTCCTTGTGCCTCTCCATTCTTCCTCCATACTCGGGGTCCTTGGTTTCCAAATGAGATGCAAAAGTTGCTCTCATCAGAAAAGAGGACTTTGGACCACTGAGCAACAGACCAGGTCTGTTTTTCTTTAGCCCAGGTAAGACACTTCTGATGTTGTTTGTTGTTCAGGAGCGGCTTGACAAGAGGAATACGACATTTGAAGCCCATGTCCAGGATCCGTCTGTGTGTGGTGGCTCTTGATGCACTGACTCCAGCCTCAGTCCACTCCTTGTGAAAGTCCCCAACACTTTTGAATGGCCTTTTCCTGACAATCCTCTCCAGGCTGCGGTCATCCCTGCTGCTTGTGCACCTTTTTCTTCCACACTTTTCCCTTCCACATAACTTTCTATTAATGTGCTTTGATACAGCACTTTGGGAACATCCAACTTCTTCTGCAATTCCCTTTTGAGGCTTTCCCTCCTTATGGAGGGTGTCAGTGATGGTGTCAGGTCAGCAGTCTTTCCCATGATTGTGATTCCTACTGAACCAGACTGAGAGACCATTTAAAGGCTCAGGAACCCTTTGCAGGTGTTATGGCTGAATTAGCTGATTAGAGTGGGACACTTTGAGCCGAGAATATTCCACCTTTTCACAATATTCTCATTTTCTGAGATTGTGGATTTGGGGTTTTCATGAGCTGTAAGCCATAATCATCACAATGATGACAAATCACGGCTTGAACTATCTTGCTTTGCATGTAATGAGTCTCATATATTAGTTTCACCTTTTAAGTTGCTGCAGTGAAATAAATGAACTTTTGCACCATATTCTCATTTTTCGAGTTTCACCTGTATATATATATATATATATATATATATATATATATATATATATATTAAATAAAAAAGTAATAATTTTAAATAAATGTAAAAAATAATATAAATACATAGATAATAAATAAAATTATATGTAAATAATATAACTAAAAAAAAATGTCTCAAAATGCTAAAACAACACATATAAATCAGAAAAAATGCTGATAGATCAGGTTTCTTTAAAAAAAATAAATAGATAGGAAAGTAGATCATATTTACATGTTTTAAACTTTTGTTTTGCATTTTTTTCAGTTGTTTCCTGGTTTCTGATCTAAGCCAAAATTATGTCGTACATCCCAGGAGTCTTCATTGGAGCAAAGTAGGAGGGACTTTCTCCGCTAAGCACACCCTCCATTCTGCAAGCCTGAGCTAAGGGCAGAAAGATTTCAGGAAGTAAATGCTACATGAATCACCTGCTCTTACTCAAGATGGCCTCTGCCAGAAATGTTAGGGGGGTTTGTTTTTCAAAGTGATTTCTCAGCAAACTAAAGCATGGAGACATGGATGATGGATTGGGGGGGGGGGGGGGTTGCTTTGAATATTAAAAATGAATAAATTAGTGTTTTTGGTTTGTGCTTCTCAGATGCAGTGCAGCTCTCCTTTAACTCAAAAAAGTCCCTTCTGTTGCTCTCAGCCTCCACCAAAACTCTCCAAATTCCTTATTGCTGCTGTGATCCAACTTCCTGTTAGAGGGTGGCTACATTCATTCTCCATGGTGGCACTGAATGTAAGAACGTAGCCACCCTCCTTTGCTTGCTCCCGATGTGAAGTATAGGATTTGTAGTGTACACAGAGCAGTGCTCGTGACTGCAACTA